CTCTGAATCTCTCTACCAATATAACCAAGTGGCGAAAACAAGGTCAAACAACCTCTATACGACGAAAGGATACTGCGACCACACAAAAGGCCACACCATCTTGGTCTTAATACCTTACCAACCTATACTCTTATTAGAGCCTTGAAATAACAAATGACTCATTAACTTTTCACTAATATTTAATTTCGGAATAACCTCTAACGTTTCAGTGTCATTAAACAGATCTGTTAATTAAGTTGACTCTCAATTAAATGTTTATTTAATTGTTGAGTCTGCGTTAGAAGCTCAGCTAACCTTTTTTAAATTATAGCAAAGATGAATGAGCATTTTTAATCATTCATATTATGGCTTTTACCTACAACCTTATTTAATTCTTCCTACGTCCAGACTTAGATTTTCTTTGCATCAAATTTTAATCGAAAATGAAATAGCCAGACTTCTGCGTAACTCAAATTTCGTCAAATATTAATTAACCACTCCGAGTTTTCGAGACTGATGACAACCCAGAAGTTAGTAACAAATTAAAGATATTATGGGGCCCTCACTCCTAAAATGGCGTAAATTATGCAGCTTATTAGTGGGTGGCCTTAACAATTATCTGAAACCAAACCTTAATAATTGAAAAAATATATATCCTTTATATTAAAAAAAAACACGTATAGATTTAAATAAATAAATAAAGCATATTCTACGTCATTAGCATTAACTTGTTTTCCATCAAACCATAATCGCTTATTTATTTTACTGTTAAAATGCAGCTGATGCAAAGGTCAAAAATATTAGCGTTGTTTCGGTCTGGCTTTCTCGCCAATTTTTGTATTATTGTAACTCCATAGTTTACGTGTATTCACAACTCAGTACATAGTTTTTTATAAATAAATCAATTTAATAACTTTATAAAATGAAAATCAAGAGAAGAAGTATTTGGTATGCTAAAATATTGCATTGTCTGACATGTTTTTACGATTAATCTTTAGGTATTCAATTCATTTGCGCATCTGGCCGACACCTCTTTACCATCTTTTCTTCATCCAATTATTTTGTTTACTCTTTGCTATTATCGGGACTCCAAATGCGGTTTCGTCTGTGTATAAGTTGTGCAATTATTATGAAAACCTTTTAATTGCATACATCCATCAACTCTGTAAGATTTCTTTATATTATCTAACCTCTTTATTACGATCTTTCCTTTTCTATTTTTTTCTTCTGCTATCTGTTACTGCTTGCCCTTTTGCTATTTTATTTTTTATGATCAGCTCTTCTTTTGCTTGTTTCCCCAAGGTATATTTCTTGGATTACACATTGCTGGCAGATTTAATTTATGTCCACATTTTCGGTTGATATTTCCTTCGTTTTACCTTGGATTATTCGCATTTTTATCTTGCGTGTGGCTTCGGCGTATCCTCATTCGTCAATTACTGTCCTACCATGGATGGCTCTGTACGTAAATTCACTTATACTTACAATACATATTGTTTCATTTTAAATGCAATTCTTTTCTATTATATAATATTCTAGCACCATTTACTGTAAAAGCTATCATTATCTATGTTTTAAACATCCCATTGAGAGGATTTTAACGAAGTATTCATCCACAAACAAAAGTTATTAGTTGAACCTTATTAGACTCGAATTACCTCAGACTGGTTTTCACAATGAGTAATATTCAGCTGAAATTTTGTTCCAACTAGCTACAAATATATTAAGAGATATAGAGTGTATAGTGTCAAGATTTTAGTTCACCTTTTATCGTAAGGATCCACGTTTTATCTAGCTATAGATGGTCTTAAGTTACACTGTACTTGGGCAGAGGATTTAGAAGACTATTGGAAACTCTGCTATTCAGAATTTTTATATATTAACTGACTTAAACAACATACTAAGCTATTTGATTAGCCTTAATTTGCCTTAAGTAATTATTAGGTACTTTCCAGCCACTTATATTTTTCATCACATATTTTCTGCAATACCCCGACATTTGATAATCTACAGATGAGCGCCAGCCTAGCCAGACCTCATGGGCAACGCGAGCTTGGGTCATCTGCTTGCGTTTATTGTTATTTGGGACCTCTAGACCTAGTTTCTACTCGTATCAAGGCTGTCTGCCGTGTTTGCCCGTGCCTCCTTTGAAAATGACGATGTATCGTTTGCTTCGTAGCCTTGAGCCGCTCATTCGTCAGGAAGGTGGTCAGAAGGACATGGCAGCTCAGGAAATAGCTGAACTTGAAGAGAGAATGAAGGTAAGCTGGCTTCTGATAGGCCTTGAGTGTCATTGAGATAATAATGGTTAAGAGAATGGAGCAATTTGTTTCCTATTAGCTAGTTTTAAAAGGTAGATATCGAGGTAATACAGGGAGCGAGTTTGATTATCTGATATGTAACGACGGATAATAATGATTCTTTATGGATTAGTAAATAATTCGTTCTTATTCACTTTTGTATTGCAGTGATTCCTTCTAGTCCTTTGAAGGGTGCTTTTTAATGGGAATGCGGATATTTGCAAAAATTGTTTGTCGTAAACCTTGTAATTTGGGCAATCTAAGGACAGGCTCTGATTTTCGAACTGTCTTAGCCCATTATTAGCCTGCATTTTTTTCTTTCTATTTCCTCAATCGAGCCTCCTAAAACGCGTGACCTTATATTTTACCTCTCATTAGGAGAAGATATCTCCTTTGTGGGTCTCTGATTGTGTCAAAATACGATTGTTTTATTTATATACAATGGTTCT